CTGCACGTCCACCTTCCTCCCAGTCCCAGAGAGGACTTCTACTCCATAAGCAATCAGCAACCTTACTAATATCGCATCACCTGCATGACCTAATTAAGGCTTTTTGAGGCAATCCTAGCAACAAAAATACCTGCTTCCTTTTATGTGTGTGTGTGTGTGTGTGTGTGTTTAAGTTGGATTTAGTTCTTTTCCTCTCTCTTCCCCGCCCCCTCCCTGCTATCTCCTCATCCCACTTTGCTAGCACCATCAGGCCATATTCAGTCTGCTTTCTGGGTGATCCAGCACTGGCAAAATCCGGAGAGTAAGGATCCAGGAAATAGAGAAGGCCAGATCTCTAGGTTAAGTGCATCCTCAGGAGTGAAGTTACCAAAAGGGCTTCCTGTTCCCCTGCTCTCCTGTCAGATTGTGATGGTGACTGCCTCAACCATTAACTATGGCATGCTGGCCAGCACATCCTGTGTCCAGTGAAGCCAAAGTGCTGCGACCATTAAGCAAAATTGCCAACACCAGAGGCCGACAGATCCTCCTTATAAGGAAATCAAATATAAGGAAATATAAGGAATATGAGGAAACCAAATCACCTACATGGCACTTTTACAATTGTGCCCCAGGATATCTCTTCTAACAGGAGGAGCTGGAATGATATGCAGGCTTTAGGATATTCTATAAAAACACCAACATCCCCCAAAGAAAGTTCCTTTTAAAATCCTGTGAGGTCGTATGTGGTTACTCCAAACAGTTCAGAAAAATGTTACGATATACCTAACAGACAGAGACTCTGCTTTTATGGACCCCGGCAGTAGGTAATCAATGATTCTTAAGGGCCATCCTTATCATCAAATTACTTATCCCTTATCAGCATGCACCCAGATAAACTTGTGTTGTAATTTCATTCTTCACTAACTTTTTGAAGTACCGCTGCTGCGTATCTCAGCAGGGATTTACTTTCCGAAGTGATAGCTGTTCAAGGGGAAAGGTCTCCCAAATATTGAACGAGAGTTAAAATGAAAAGATGGTAAATGCCATAAAGGAAGATAAAAGGGTGACTGATGCTGATGCCTTCAGAATCCTGCTTCCATAAGCAACTGTTTCCATGCAATTAGCGGATGCTCTGGATCCCATTCATTTGGATATGGAAAGTCTTGGTCAGCTTTCTGACTTCCAAAGGAAATAAGAATTCCAACTGCCCCCGTGCTATTTTATAGGATATTGCTGATGAAAAAGTTTCAATGTGTAGTCGGTGTCCTACGGGTTAAATTTAAGAAAGTACTGCAAACTCCAACGCAAGCGTAGGAATAACATGTTCAACAAAACAGACACCAGGGTGGGACTGCCCCCAAGGGGAAGCTGGGCTTTGTGCCAGAGACCTATGGGGTAACCTACCCTGTTAACTCTTCTCCAGGGCGGGAAGAGGGAGGGAGAAGAACCTTAAACATGAAGCCCAGCTAGCTTTAGGGAGGAAGACTCCAGCAGAGACCTGAAATGTTTCAGATTGTACATTTAGCAACAAAATAAGATTAAGATTCATAGTGGAATGTACAAAGCAGAATTTCATCACATTCAACCTTTTCCTTTACTCTTTTTCTAAGCTAACAATCAACATATGCAACTTATTAACATAACTGAGCATGAACATTTCTTATTGCTCAGTCTTTTTATATCTGTTGCATGAACATATTTGTCTTTCTTCCTGAAATATTCATTTGCCCAGTTAAGAAAACTTCATTTACTTAAAATGTTTTTGTAACCATTCTAAAGGCTTCATGAATTCCATCGTGTTGCCAGTGTAAGAAGAAGGATTAAACTGTAGGGGAAACATGATGAGAGTTTGGATGTGATTACTTTCTTATTCTTACTTTCCTATTCTTACTTGACTAATTCAGGATATTAAAACCACTTTAGGCATTTGACGAAAGTCAGTGCAGCTTTTTTTTTTTTTTCTTTTTCCCCCAGTCAAAAGAGAATAATTCTCTATATGTAGGCAGTTTGGAACTTGTACTTAAGGACGTTGAATTTGGTCTTTGCTCTTTACTGGCGGTGAGAAGGGGAAGAAAGGTCCCTGTGTTTACCCACTGAATAAATATGCCTGTAGGCAAGGCACTATTCGGTGCTTTACTCCACGGACTTTTTTAAACATCTATCTTGGCTGCCTCACAATCCCCACGTTAATCGTCTCATCTTCCTGCTCAGGTGCCTCCAGTTCTGAATCTACAGAATTATTTGGCAAACCAAACCATCCAGAACCCAGCCAGGAAGTAAAGATAAAAGCTCCCGAGTGGGAAAAAAATCAATGCCATAAAATCCATGCACTGCAGCTTTCTTCATTTGCGAGCCCTTGCTCAGTCCCTACACGGCTTTCGCAAGTTTACCTATCTGATTTCTCAATTCACAAATGATTTAAAAAAAAAGAAAATAAGCATACTATTGCCACAGTTTTTTCTTCTTCTTAGTCTTTATAGGGTGTTACTAGCTGCCAGACACTGTGCTAAGCCTTTTACACACATTATTGCAGTAAATCTTTGTGAGAGTAAAGTTAAACACTGTTAACAGCTCCATTTTACAGTTTCATAAACTGAGGTTTAGACTCTAACTTTAGAGGAACTAAGTAATTAGCCAAACTTGCATATACTTAGTTAACACAGGCACACAGATAGCAATGTGATGGGCTGTGGGATGATTTGTTAGCAAGTAAATAGAAAATAGCAAAGGAAACTAGAAATAGCTAAGTTGGAGCCCATGCAGTTCAGACAATTCAATTTTTTTTTCTTTTTAAGTTTGGAGACAAGATTAAACCTCTTTTGGTTTTCAAAAGTCACTATGGTATCACAACAGGGAAACTAAATACTCTCTATAAGGATAACCCCCAGCTATTAAATCCTAGATTATTACATTCACGATCATTTTAACAAGGGATGAAGAAATGCAATGTATGTTGTTAAACACTTTTCTGAGATTTTAAATTAATAAAGTAATTATAAGCTTTGTGCTAGATTTTCTCAAATGAAAGTCTCCATTTATCTTGAAAAATACACAAAAATAGAACACATCATGTTCTAATGATGGTGGTATGTTTATTTGTGGTTTGTTTCTAAAAAGTAACATTGAAAAAGAAGAAGGGAATAAGCTGAAGTTGCAAAATATTGGACTTGTTTTTTCAAAGACTGAATGCAGATTCAGCTGGACCAGTCAATTTGCTGTACTTTGGGGCTATTCCTTCTCCAGGGTTTATCCCATTTTGCTAACTAACACAGACCTGATCATTAGTAAAGGAGTTGTTTTGGACCATGGCTGGGCTTGATGTGTGATTTGAAGTAGCTGAATACAACCCCCAAACCCAGTCCTGGGATGAAAATAACTGCCCCAAAATCTTGCCTAAGATGGTCAGATGGCCCACACCTAGGGTACAATTGCAGTCTGACCTAAGAAGACAAAGCGAGATCCAGAGGAGGCATACTACTTAAGAGAGGAGCCCTCAGTGGGCTACTTGGATGCCTCCTGAAGCTTCAAGGTGGCTGGGCAGAGCCTACAAGCCTTGGACCAGGGCATCCAGAAAAAACAGAGAGCCCACGAGACTGCTGCAAGTACCCATCAATAAAACTGGCGTCCCCCACATTCTTACACGATTATAATGTGTCTAGTTCTATCTGTGGTAAAATTTCCAAGAACTTGTTGCCAGAAAGGACCCCAGGGACTGAGTAGGTGGGCAGGAAAAGGGGGCTAAGGGGCTGCAAGCTGTTCTTTGAGTGAGAATGAAACAAATGGCCCAGTGTGGGTAGAGTAAGGGTAGGTTATGTGAGACAAATATAAAAAAATCAAGCCCCAAACCACTGTGGTCATTCAGAAATGTTTGCAACTTTTCACAAGGGCAGTGGTATTACTCCCAATTTCCCAGCCAAATATTTATTAAAGTAACCAAGGACTGAGTCCATGAGGCTGCCTCACATCGGCGCAGCATCCTGCTTTCCTTGTGGCTCTGAACTGTGAGGTACTGTCAAAAAAACTTCTTCCACACTCGAAATAGCTACGTTGCAGAGGAGAGTTGGAACGTGTTCTGGGAGTGGGTGTGTTTGTTTGAGTTCAGTGTGTGCAGAAAAGGCAAGCCTCCACAGCCATTCACACACTTCCCTCCTCAGCGATGGGTACGCAGGCAGCCGAGCTCCTGGACTAGTCTCTGAATGGTAACGTACACTTATAAAGATTATTTTCTTAACTATTTTGAGGCATTTTATAAATAATATGCATGTGTCTGCTGAGTGCATATATATATGTGTGTATATATATTTAGGCAACTTTTGCTTGCTTTCTCGTGAGGCGGGTCTCGTGTGGTTGCTTATGTGGCATGATTTCTGAGGTGTCAGAAAGGGTCCCCCCCTCCCTAGCTTCTATGCTAGTCACCCAAAAATATCTTTTGGCCTGGCTCGCCACAGAGCCGAAAGTCCCCATATTGCTCAAACATTTGATTTAGCCCCTGAAAGCAGCTGCTCAAATCTATGCGTTACATTGGGATATTAGGCAGACCTTCGAGATTAAAAGACCGTGTAAAAGAGAAAAGAATATGGAAAAATTGCTTTTGAGAGAACGTTACATTTCAAAAGAAAAGAATGTACAGTGTGGATCAGGTGCTATTCTGAAAAATGTCAAGGGGCTATGAGCCAGCATATATTTCCCAGGTCATGAACATGAGCCTGTGATAAAAGCAACCCAGCACTACTGGGCAGATGTTGTTCTGATTTATGTTACGTGCATGCTTTTCACAGTTCTGATCCTCAGCTCCCACTCTCTTCACAGTGCATCTGCCACTTCCCCTTGCTGAGCTGCAGAGGCTCCCAGTGACCTCTTGGTAATCAGCCTTGGCGGGGCCCAAATCCCCACCCCTTGGAAAACTCTCCGAGTCTGGAGCCTGAAGTCTGCCTGTGAGTGGCTTTCAGGAAAGACCTCACAAGCGCCCACCCAATCTGCCTTAGCAGCAAATTGCCAAACCAAGCCCTCTTACTCAAAAGATGGTAGAGGACTTAGCAGCCTCTTACATTGCTCTGAAATTAGAGAATGAAATTCTGCAGGCCCAAGTGCAGCGATTGATGGAAGAGAATGCTGCCCTCCAGGCCCAGATCCCAGAGAGCCAGAAGTCCCGAGCAGCCAAGGAGGATGAACAACTCCCGAAGCCCTCACCGGCACAGGAGTCCCGAGAGCCCCCAGAGCCCTCGGAACCCTCAGCAGCCAGGGAGCCCCAGGAGCCCCCGGAGATCCAGGAGCCCCCAGAGTTGCTGGCTCCCTCAGCAGCCAGGGAGCCCCCGAAGCCCTCAGAGATTGAGGAGTCCTGGGAGCCCCCAGAGCCCTTGGGTGCCCCAGCAGCCTGGGAGCCCGGAGACTCCCCCGAGACCCTGGAGTCCCAGGAGCTCCCAGAGTTCCCAGGGCCCCCAGCAGCCTGGGAGCCCCCAGAGCCCCAGCAGCTCTCAGCTGGGGAGCCTGCAGCAGTCCAGGAGCTCCATGAGGCCCAGAAGCTCCTGGAATCTCCAGCAGCCCCAGAGTCTCTGGAGTCCGCAGCAACCTGGGACCTCCAGGAACCCCCAGCAGCCCATGAGCTCGCAACAGCCTGTGAGATCCAAGAGCCCGGAACCACCCAGGATACCTCAGCGGCCCAGGAGCCCCAGGATCCAGAGTCCCAGGATCCAGAGCCCCAGGAGCCCCCAGATGCTGAGGAATCCCAGGAGGCACCAGAATGCCAGGAGACCTTGGCACAGCTGGAGTCTCCTGAACTTCCCTCTCCCCAGGAGATTCTGGAACCCTGGGTGCCCCAAGAGCCCTTGGATCCCACAGAATCCCAGGAGTCCTTAGAGCTCTCGGCATCTGCCCAATCGCTGGAGGGCCTTATAAGAATGGAGACACCAGCTGCTTCCGGTTTCTCACAGGCCTCCACTGGGTTAGAGGTTGCAACTGTCCCTCTGGAGTACCCTTTAGCCTTCAGTGGGGATGCCCAAAAGCTTCCAGAGTTTCTGATTCAGCTGAGTGCTTACGTGAGAGTCAGAGGGCACCTGTATCCCACTGAAGCAGCCCTAGTGAGCTTCGTGGGCAACTGCTTCTCAGGTGATGCAGGAAGATGGTTCCAGCCCTTCCTGGATATCCAAAGCCCTCTGCTGGAGCAATTTGAAAGTTTCCTCCAAGTGCTGCAGGATGCTTTTGACAACCCAGAAAACATGGAAGACATCAACCACTTCATCCGACAGCTCTGCCAAGGGGAGGATCCTGTGCACCGGTCCGCAACCCACTTCTGCGTCATTTCCCGTGAGCTGAGCGGGGATGAGAGCACTCTCAGCATCCGTTTTCAAGAAAGTCTTCTCAGTTCTATCCGAGATGAAGTGTCTCGCAGAAATTCAGCCGCCAGCATGTCTGATCTGGTCATCCGGTACATCAGCACAGAAGAGAAGCTAAGCGGTAAGCCTGATATCAATCCATCAGGGCAAAGCTCCTCTGACGAAGGAGATAGGCCTGAGCTTCCACTACCTGCAAATCAGGCTGGGCAAGCAGCAAGCAATCGCCCACATCTCAGTGAAGCTGAACGGGCTCGACGCCGTGAAGGCCACCTGTGTCTCTATTGCGGTCATCCTGGTCATTTCGCCAGAGATTGCCCTGTCAAGCCTCATCGTGCCCAGCAGGCGGGAAACATCGAGGCCCGGCGGTAAGGGGGATCCCGGGCGGGCCAATCTACAAATATGCGTCCCCCTCTCTTCCAATATCCATGTCCCGTATCCTATGGCTGACTGTTGAAATCCGACTAGGAAGACGACAGTTCTTTGAGCAAGCAATGGTGGATTCAGGCTCCTACAGAAACAGCATCGACCATTCTGTGGTCCTGCGTGAGAAGCTTCCCATCCGCAACAACATCTTCCCTCTGATGCTCGAAACCGTTGATGGCCGTCCGTTGATTAATGGACCCATTACCAAGGAAACACCACCTGTCGAAGTGAAAATCGGAAACCACGTCGAAGAGCTTCAGTTTGACATCATTCATGCGCCACGATATCCTCTCATTCTTGGAATCCACTGGCTTGAAACCCACGACCCAATCATCGAGTGGAGCACTCGCACTGTGTCTTTTCCATCACGCTATTGTCACTACAATTGCTTCAGGCACAGGTGGAATAGAAGACGTCGTGATGAAATAATTGCTGGGTAAATCCTGTGTCCCAGTGACTGTTCCTGCCAACCTGTCTTCTGTTACCTCAGCTGTCGTCAGCATTTGCTGCTCTCGGAATCTGCCACTGAACCTCTGGCTATGAACTAAGGCTACCTGTACAACGACCCTGCCTCTCGGATCATGGACTGAACCTGATGACTTTGTGCTGCTTTTTATTATTTTTTTTTAACCAATCCTGCATGCCTCCCCTCCCTGAACCCTGCAGTATGTGGGGCCATTTTAATTACAAAGTATACTAACAATATGCATGAAATAGATATTAGCAACTAATACTGAGAAATGTAGCTATTAGCCTGACTTTATTTTTCCTTATCAAGATTCTCTTTATCACAAAAGTTACAATTTGTTCATGAATAAAATAAATTACAAGTGGTATCTTTTGAAATAATCAATAAACATTGGCAATTGTTACTTGCGTCTGATTTCTTGACTAGTGGGGGGAAGGGCATGAGAGGTTAGTAAAGTGGGAGAGGGAGGGAGGATTAGAAAAGGCTTAAATGGGAGTGAGGTCCTGAACCTTCCAGGGTTAGTTAAGGGTCGTGGGTTATGATGTTTTTGTGTGGCAGGGGAGGGGAATGCAGGGAGTGAGGAAGCACTGGGCCTGGGAATGGGTGAGGTAGGGGGAGTTGAGGGAAGATAGAAGCAAGGTTAAGCAGAGGACTTGGGGGAGGGGTGCAGATTTGGAGGCGGTGGGAAAGGATTGAGAGGAGGGTTGGGAAGTCTGGAGGGGTGTTGGGGGCATTGGGTAGGGGGAGGAAAAATGTTTTAAAAACACATCAAAGGAACATTAAGGGAGACCTTGAGCAGCTCTGACGGCAAATTTCTTGAACTTCACAAGTTAACCCAACAAAGAAGAGCACTGGAGCAGGTAATGAGGGGCCCCTCAGCGGCTCAGCCTTTCCCCTAAGGTAACATTGTCTTATTCTTGCAGCAGGGAAATTCAGCCTAGAGCTCATAACCATTTACCTGTTGCTGCCAGTGCACAGCAGCAGGCTGGCAGGGAGCCATTTGCCACCCCTCTGGGTTGTTAGTGGCCAATTTTGCCTTTCCTACACTTGACAGTTGCTCTTCCCTACAGGGAAACACACTGGAAGGGGATGGGGTAAACATGGGGAGGCATGTCATGGGAGAGAGCTTAAGTCATTTTAAGCTTGAGAGGGGCTTGTATCCTGGAATCAATCAATCAGTCAATCCTTTCCCTCTCTCTCTCTCTCCCTCTTTCTCTCTCTCCCCCTTTCTCTTTCACACACACACACACAGACACATACACACTCATATCTCCACCTCCACCCCCTCCTCAGCCATCCTCCATCCCACCGCCCTCACACACACACACATACACACACACACACACTCTCCTATCACCTCCAACCCCTCCTCAGTTCCCCTCTATCCCATCACCCCCTCACACTCCTATCTCCACCTCCACCGCCTCTTAGCCCCTCTCCATCCCACTGCACCGCCCCCACACACACTATATGGAGGAGATAAAAAGATGCTGAGATGTCCAGGTAAGGGAGAATGGTGCAAAGAGATCTTGACACTCCCTTGCAGTCGGCAACTCTCCTTTGAGAGTCTCTGTTTTTGAGGTTACTTAAAAGGGAATCTTCTCATTACCTAGATAAACTGATCAAATAAATGATAACAATCACAGAAAGAAACAGGGAAGGGGCATCTTGCACATATTAACTGTCTCATCACTCTCCCATTAAAAACTAGTAAAGTAAGTTTGTTTGCTCGTGTTTTTATCAATGAGCTAAGAGTTTCAGCAAGGTTAGTTCATTTTTTCAAAGACACACAGCCAGTGAGTGGCGGACTCATGCTGGTTTTTGAAAGCCTACATCATTTCCCTACAGCTTTCCAATCTCCCCCATGTAGTGAGGAGAGCCAGCAAGACTGGGACAGCAAGGAGCTAAGAATTATAGGGAGCACTTGGGGAGCAGTTTTTTTTCTAGTTCCCTTCTCCAGCCCCCTCATAGTCCTCCCAACGCTCTTTTTCATCTCTTAAAGGACCCCTTGTATTTAGCAGCATAACCCCTTTCAGATTCCATGTTGAGTGTGTGTGTGTGTGTGTGTGTGTGTGTGTGTGTGAATTGACAGTCTAGGGTCAGTTACCTCCAGGACCTATGCATTGCAACTCCCCTTGAGCTGTCTGCGCAGTCACTTCCATAATCAATCCAAATCCTGTGCAAACTTTAATTCCAGTTGTTCTTGACCTCACTGTCCTCCCCTTTCTTTACTGAAGAGTCTAACATGTTTTGGCATTATATACTGCGTTAAGGTATGCGGGGGTCTTTCCCTAGTATATGCCCTACATTCCTACCACCCCATTCTACCCACACATATTTTGCAGGGACAGAATCATTTATATCCCCTAAACTTGACAGCATACCCTAAATGTAGTCCTTGGCACCTGAAAGGATCTTCATAGAGACTGATTCAATGATGTTTAAACATCAAAAGTGAGAGAAACGGGCTAATTTATACTCTATGAGTGCTTCTTGTTTTTTCTCCCCCTAGTTGTTTACCTCTGCTCCCAAGACAAAACACTGTTTGCTAACAAGAAATTCAACAGAAAAAAATCTTTACGCTACCAAAAAGAAACAAAAATGCTTTTTGTTGGTCAAACCTCCCTGGAGTCTGGAAGGCAAACTGTTAACTTCCCTAACACTGAGGGAATTTATAAAAATTAAAGGCAGGACTCTCCGTGCTAAAATTGGGGCAATTCTTGGCAAACTGAGATGCATAATCAACCCACAAGGACCCTAAATCTTTCTATCTGATGACACAGTCTTATTTAAGCAGAGCACAATTCATTATGTCACAAACAGAATCAAGTACGTAGTCATAGAGTAACAAACTTTTTCCTTCTGCTGCCTGCGTGGATAGCTTGCTCTCCAGGGGCCATGGAAGTCCCATCAGGGCTTGAGGCCAGCAGAGCAGACCTGAGGACTCCAGCACATGTTTCAGTTCTAGGAGGATTGGGAGGAGAGGGGAAGAAAGGAAAGGGGGGAAGTGTAGGACCCCAGGCTGACATGCTGGCATGTTACAAAGGTGGACCCAGCTAGTGACTTTTATACATGATGGGTCCCCAGGCCAGCAAAGTATCATGGGTCTGGGGACCCATGTAAATGCTTGGGTCCCCAACAGACAGGTGGGTGGGGTTCCAGGCCAGCTTGCCTCTCAGTGAGCCAGTCTGGGAATCTGTGCATGCACTGGAGTTCTAGGTGGGTGGGCAGGGCTCCAGGCCAGAAATCCACCCGCCAGAGGAGCCAGCTGGAGAGCCCATGTGCTTGCAAATGTGGGGTTGGGGATTGCCCAAGGAAGAAGGTTATATGGCAAATGGAAGAGGATTATGTGACATAGGGACGAAGAGACCACTGAGGGAATATGCTATAGGTGAGGAATAACTTCTGGAGTAATTCTACCAACAAGACTCTGTACTGGAAAGTACAGCAGTGGGGCTGAGCCAGCAATTTTGAGGAGGGAAACTGAAGGACACTTCTGTGTCAGACCGATGCACCTGCCCAAATAAGAGTCCTGAGGTGGGCTAGTAAGTGCAGGTCACAACTGCTACCACCCACCAGTGCACACTAAGGCTGGGGCTTGAAGCCCTATAATATGGTGGGGCTAGACCACAGTACCCAACAGTGAGTGTCAGAACAGGGGAATGGGTCTCATGTTAGGCTGGCCATGACATAAACAGCATGTGAAAGAACTGGATCTGGGGGGCAGATAATGTGGGGGATATGTGGGAATCACACCTGTGGAACTGTAATATCCACTGACTTGCTCAAGAACTGGGTGGGTCATGGGCTGAACTAGGCATAACCATGAAACTCCCTGACATTCATGGGTACTCAGGTTGAGAACAGGTTGGGCTGGTAAAGGCTGAAGCACCCATAGGCACACTCAGGAATAAGATGTGGGATGAGCCAGGCTGCAACATCCACCAAGACACATAAAGGCTGAGACAGAGATGGCAGACTATGCCAGGTAAGGGCCCAACACCCACTAGCACGGGTGAGATCTGGATCTAGGAGTGGGTCTGGTGGGAGAACTTGGGTAACTCCTCTGGTGGGCAGCAGCTCCTGCTGGTGAGCAATTGAGTCATGCATGGTTGTTGGTCAGGCTGGGCAAGGTAGTTCCACTGTCGGCAAGTGTGTGAGTTGGTTTGGTGGGGTAGGGGGTGGGAGACTAGGCAGAATTAGGCCCAACCTTATCATATGGCCATGTGCAGGAGCCAGGATGTAATGCAGAATGTGCTGGGCGAGACTATCACATCTACTGGTATGCATGAAAGACAGGGACAGGGGAAGACCGAGCAGGGTTGGGCTGCAGTACCTACCAGCCAAAGTTGGGATTGGGGGTGAACTGGGTCAAACAAGGCTCTAGAATCCAATAGAAAAGGCAAAGACAGAGAATGGCTTATGCTGGGCTAGGTCAGAGAAACCATGGACACATGAAAGATTTATGGCTGAGAGCATGCCTGGTCAGGGAGCTAAGGGGATGCTCCTGCTGGGTTGTGACTCCTACTGGTGAGTCCAAGAGCCATAATGAGGATGGCAAACTGAGCTGGATATGGCTGCAGCATCCCCCAGCATAAATGTGGACTGAGTT